GCTCGTCTCCTCTCCATTTCCTCTCTCTGCCTCTCTCTCTCTCTGTCTTCTTCTCTCTCTCTCTCTCTCCATCTCTCTCTCTCTCTCTCCTTCGCTCTCTGTCTGTCTGTCTCTCTCTCTCTCTCTCTCCCTCTCTTTCTCTCTCTTTGTCTTTCTTCCTTTCAGATTCCGTGTCCTTGCGACCTTCTGCAGTCCCCGACGTCGCCACGGCTGGATCCGCTCGAGCGTGTCTTGTGATGTGCGGCGGTGCGAAGCCCGTCCCACTGATCAAGGCACAGGTACGAAATGATGGGTCCATCATTTCTTGCCTTCCCATGTGCGTTTTCCCAATCGATTCCTGGGCCCGAGGTCGCAAAAATTACGACGTCGGAGGTCTGGGGAGGCGGGAAGCACGACCTGGACCTCCGACGTCTTGGAAAAATCACGACGGTGGTTTCGGTCAATTTTCGGCCTCTGGGGCCCTCGCAGGGTCCCGGGACCGTCAGAAAACGACTCAGGATGAACAAAACACACGTCCCCAGGAAGTCGTCGAGAGGTCCAGGGGCCGCGCACAGAAAGCATCACGACATCGGACGTCCAGAGAGGAGGTAGGAACACGAGGAGGAGGGAGCCCAGACCTCCTGGCGACGCAACACCAAATATAACAAAAGCTTCCCCGCGACTTCCCCCAGAGACTCTAACTACAGAAACTCCTTTCGTATTCCGGCCAGAAGCATCCAGAAACGATGTACATTAGCCCTGGCGGGGGGAATGATGGCGATGGTGATGTCCATGATGACGACGGTGACGATCCTAGCTAGAACCTAAGCGCGCGCGAAGCGCGCGCGTGGTTCTAGTATATATATATGTGTGTGTGTGTATTGATTCGCCCGTGAGCAGATAGGAGCGAACAATCTAAACAATGATTGTTGTTGTTGTCGTCGTCCCCCCGTCGACCAACCCCGCGACCCACCCAGCGACGCACCCCGCGACCCACCCCGCGACCCACTCAGCGACGCACCCCGCGACCCACCCCGCGACCCACCCCGCGACCCACCCGCGACCCACCCCGCGACCCACTCGCGAACCACCCCGCGACCTATCTGCGACCTACCCGCGACCCACCCGCGACCTACCCGCAACCCTTCACGCAACCCACCCCGCGACCCACCCGCGACCGATCCACATTGGTTTGAAGAAAAATTCTGCGTCTGCGGCGGGCTCGTTGTATAATGTGTGGAACTTTGGCGCCTGCGGCGGGCTTCTCCAAAGTCTCGCAGACTGCCGACGTCCTCACCGCCCTCCGCATCTGGGCGTCCGTTCCTTGAAAACGAAGAGGTGGTGTGCTCAACATCCCTGCCAAACGAATGCGTGTCTACTGTGATTCCTTTCGCTTCGCGGGGTGCCATCCAGAGCGCGTGCTGTCAAGTCGTTGCGGGGCCTTGTGGGAGCCTCTCGGGGCTTCTTGGAAGCGTCTTGAGAGCGTATTAGGGCCTCCTGGGGGTTTGTTTGGGGCTTGCCGCGGCCTCTTTTGGGCGTATTGGGCCGAGATTGTAATCGATGTGTACAGTGCGCAGGTGGAGAACGCGTGCAGCTCAGTCGTTGCGGCTATTCCTAGGGGCTTGTGGGGGGCCTTTGGGAGGTTTCCTCAGGGCCTCCGCGGGGCTTCTTAGGATTCTCCTGGATGTTGCGGCCCCTTTGGCGCGTCTAGGGCAGTTTCGGGGCGCTCTTGCGCTGCGCGGTCCCTTCAGAGGCATAATGCAACGCCAAGTTCCAAAGTCCGATGGGCATAGCAACAACGTGCCATTCGTATACAATTCCGTGGGCCTTTTGGTGGCATTTGGGGGCCGTTTGCAGGCCTCTTGGAGGCCTCTTGGGGGCCTCGGGGAGGCCTCTGATGGGGCTGAATGAGGGCCTCTTGGGAGCCTCGTGGGGCGTTTTGTGTTTTTTTTGATGCGCTGTTGCGCCGTTTCGTCCTTTCGGAGGCCGTCCAGTGGGCATCTCGCGGCCGCCTTGGGCCATCCACTTGAGCGCGCCGCCAATGTTGGTCGTTTGGGTTTCGACGTTGCAGCCCCGAATCTCGTTTTCGACGAATTGGTTGGTATTCGACGGATCTGTGTTCGGCAATGCAGTTTTGTTATTTCTTGTCGCCACGTTTTCTTGTCGCCATGGGCCTTTTGCAGGCGCCGCGGCTGGTCGAGAGATACCCAGGGATCCCGCTTTAGGCCAGAGCTATGGCCCAGAGTCGAGCTGATCGTCCCTGTGTTCAGGGGAAAGAATCATTAGGGCGACGATGGAGGCGGCCGTGACGAACGCGAGGAGGGGGAGGGGGAAGCGGGAGGATGACGGGGAAATGGGGGAGGAGGAGGGGGAGGAGGAGGAGGAGGAGGAGGAGAAGGAGAAGTTGTAAGGGGAGGTGGGGGACGGCGAGTATAATTACGGAGGAAGACGGTGAGAAGAACATGTATCAGTTTGCAGGAGGACGACGGCGAGGACAAGGAGACAAGTGAGGACGAGGAGGACGTCGGCGACGATCCGAATCTGGGGGCGCAGAAGGGCAATGAGTAGGAAGTCTGGGAGGAGGAGGAGCAGAGGGGATGCAGGGAGGGGGGGGGGGAGGATTTGATGCTTGAGCATGCGTGGCATCATTGCTCGTTTTCCTCCTGGCCCTCGTCGCCCTCGTCCTCGCCCTGCTTTACTTCACTTGGCGCTACCCTTTGAGACCCAGCTGGGCTGGGAGCCTCAGCACTTGCCAGCTCGACACAGCCCTAACAATCACGTGCCTGCAACCTCGCCTTTGCTGCTTCTCGCACGCGGCCTTGCACGCCCCCCAGCTCCTAGTTCCTGCTCCTGCCCCTGCTGGTGGGGTCTTCGTTCTGTGACCTCGCAGGTTCATGCGGAGCCTCCTCGGGACGAAAACGTAATCTGAATCTCGCGAAGAGGACGGAAGGAGAAGGAAGCGGCCAAACGGGGGATGAGAATAGCAATGATGAAACTCAGGAGGGTGATTAGGATGAGGAGGATGCAGCGAGGCGTGATTGGTGGGATGATAATGAGAAGGAGCATCAATGTGGGGAAGGAGGGATAGGACGGGGACGGGGATGAGGTGATGAATAATGGACACAACAGCAGCAGCTGGAGGAAGAGGAGGAGGAGACGACAGAGAAGGCGGAATGACAGAACAGTCAACACGCACAGGATGAGCAGGAGCAGGAGCGGGTTCATTATCCGTAAGGGCTTCGCCCCCTGCCGCCGGCCCCCTCTCTCGGAGAATGGGCCATGGAAGAGCTAAGTCATGAGGCTTTGGCGCTGTCGCGCAGCAGTATCGGAACTTCATGCGAGGCCGATTCGCAATCGGCAAAACCAACTGATCACAAGAGGGGTTACCACACAGGGCGATTGGTAAGACGTGTATGGTTTACGAGCTTGGTTACCACACCTTGGGATTAAAGGGCCGAGGGAGTACTCGCAGTTTGGGTTACCACGCCTTGCGATGGATGTGCGTGAGGGGTGGCACCGAATTTCAGAAATGTGGCAAATCCCATGTGTTTTTGGACCCTGACCCCGCGGATCTGCGTGAGGGGTGGCACCGAATTTCAGAAATGTGGCAAATCCCATGTGTTTTTGGACCCTGACCCCGCGGATCTGCGTGAGGGGTGGCACCGAATTTCAGAAATGTGGCAAATCCCCTGTGTTTTTGGACCCTGACCCCGCGGATCTGCGTGAGGGGTGGCACCGAATTTCAGAAATGTGGCAAATCCCTTGTGTTTTTGGACCCTGACCCCGCGGATCTGCGTGAGGGGTGGCACCGAATTTCAGAAATGTGGCAAATCCCATGTGTTTTTGGACCCTGACCCCGCGGATCTGCGTGAGGGGTGGCACCGAATTTCAGAAATGTGGCAAATCCCATGTGTTTTTGGACCCTGACCCCGCGGATCTGCGTGAGGGGTGGCACCGAATTTCAGAAATGTGGCAAATCCCTTGTGTTTTTGGACCCTGACCCCGCGGATCTGCGTGAGGGGTGGCACCGATTTCAGAAATGTGGCAAATCCCTTGTGTTTTTGGACCCTGACCCCGCGGATCTGCGTGAGGGGTGGCACCGAATTTCAGAAATGTGGCAAATCCCATGTGTTTTTGGACCCTGACCCCGCGGATCTGCGTGAGGGGTGGCACCGAATTTCAGAAATGTGGCAAATCCCTGTGTTTTTGGACCCTGACCCCGCGGATCTGCGTGAGGGGTGGCACCGAATTTCAGAAATGTGGCAAATCCCTTGTGTTTTTGGACCCTGACCCCGCGGATCTGCGTGAGGGGTGGCACCGAATTTCAGAAATGTGGCAAATCCCTTGTGTTTTTGGACCCTGACCCCGCGGATCTGCGTGAGGGGTGGCACCGAATTTCAGAAATGTGGCAAATCCCTTGTGTTTTTGGACCCTGACCCCGCGGATCTGCGTGAGGGGTGGCACCGAATTTCAGAAATGTGGCAAATCCCTTGTGTTTTTGGACCCTGACCCCGCGGATCTGCGTGAGGCGTGTCGATTTCGAGCCCCCCCAGCAATTCAGACAACGCGCCCAGGGGGTGTTAAAAAATTCTGTTTGGGCCTCCCCCCCCCTCGCGCGGTCAATCAACTAGTTACAGTAACCAGCATGAAGCAGAACTGTAACACTGGAAACTACAAGCTACAACTGGTACTGGAAACTGCGAACCCGCGCCTACAGCCTGGTGGCCCCACAAGGGGGCCGGCGGATTTATTTCAGTAAGAAGCTCTACGGCGACATGCCTTCGCTCAAGAGGACCAAAGTGTCGGGAGGAACCTGACGCTCCTCTCCCTGATTGGAGGAGGAGGAGGAGGAGTCGAGGAGGAGGAGGAGGGGGATGAGGAGGAGGAGGAGGGGGAGAGGAGGGGGAGTATGAGGAGAGGGCTACGAACGACGTTCTTTCCAGGCACCAGGAATCAGGAATCAGGAGGAGGAGAATGAGGAGGAGAAGGAGGTGGAGGAGAAGGGCGGGCGCCCGGCGCAGGTGTTCGGCGATGATGTGAGATTGGGGCTCGTCCGAAAGCACGTCGCCGAAAAGGGGATAATCCCGGCTAGCCAGGCTGACGGCGCCGCTGGAGGGGGACCAGGGCGAGGGCGGAGGAAGCGGCGGGGGGACTTGGGAGCGAGGTCGAGGAGCAGCAGGATCGCCTGCGTGTACCCATGAGAGATGAGCATTCTTGCAGACACGGTGCTGTGGACATCTTTTGCTCAGATGAATTGAGGTTGCTAGGTCCTGAAATTGAAGTGTTGGAGGGAGCTTTGGGCCTTCGATTCGGTTGCTCCTGGCCCTCGTGGGCTGCCTGGCTCCCCAGTTCGCGTGGAGTGGCTTCCCACTGCGGATTCTGTGGCTCAAGGTCCACGGCTCGTCGGAGGCCTTTCGTGGCCCTCGTGTGTGTGTGTGTGTGTGTGCGTGTGTGTGTGTGTGTGTGTGTCTGTGTGTGTGTGTGTGGGGGTGGGGGGGGGAGGGGGGAAGGGGGGGAGGGGGAGGAGAGGAAGGGGGGGGGGGCGGGCGTCCAGCGTGCATCTGGTGGGGGGTCAGGGTGGGTGTGGGGGGGGGGGGGGGACGGTGAGGGTGGGCGAGTGGGGAGGGGATGGGGAAGGACCTCCCTTCCTTCCCGCCCCCTGCCCCTCCCGCCCGTCCCCCCCCCTCCAGGAGGACACTGTAGGTTCCGATCCACGAAGACCACGGCACGCAAGTTATTCATTTTAGTCTGTCATTCTCGCCTCTGCCTGCTCATGCTCATGTCCTCGCCCCCTGCCTGCCACCCTCCCCTCCCTCCCTAGAGAAAGAGAAAGAGAGAGAGAGTGTGTGTGTGTGCTCACGACTCTGCCGCTCGGAGGCGCTGCAGGCCTGGGCCAAGGGTCAGGGCACGTCCATCCCGTACTCCGCCGTCAAACCGTTGCTTGAGGAGCGTGGCGACCTGAAGGAGGAGAAGGAGGAGGAGGAGGGATAGGCACGCGGCCTCTGACTGGTGTGCCTCCGGGTCAGCCCGCAGCTGTCTCAACGATTCTTCTTGCGTTTTGCAGCTGTCCCGCCGCAAGGCTCTGCGGCGGCGCTGGTCGCCGAGATCTGTTGCAGCGACAGCGGGCCCTCGACTGTGTTCGCACTCACGCCAGCGTGTTGGCAGGTTTCATGGGCTCACTTGGGAGCTGGGCTTCCAGGCGCCCGTCGCCTCGCTCAACCGCCAGGTTTGGGACGTGCGCGCAGCTTGAACCAGGCGGGCCTAGTCTTCAGTGCGGCAGGCCTTGCTCTTGCGCCCCCGTGAAATTTAAACGTGGCTGCGAGAACTTCTCTCACAGTGTCCACACGGGTGGCCTTATCCGGCTTGTTTGCGGCGGTTGTTCGGTTGTAGTCATCTTCGTGTTGTTCTTCGTGGTTCTGCGGCTACTGGCTTTGAGGATATCGCGGGCGTCGCTGTGGCTGCGGCAGCCGGCAGCCGCAGATCCAGATCTTTCTGTTCGGGTCCCATTCGAAAAGGCGTCCCAAGTATCATAGGTGTCCAGCCTTTGCTGACCGAAATGGGGCGTGCACGAAATCTTTTCCAAGCGAACGGGGGGTTGCTTTGATTGCGTAGGTGGTGCTGCGGCACGCTGAGGGGTCCGCTTGCCGCGCAATGTTTTCAATTGATCCATTGGTAGTTTGCCGTCGTGCTTTGTCATGTCTGCGCGATGTTTGACATGTCGGCTGTAGTCCCTGGCAGTGAACAGCGTAATTGCTGAACAAGTGCAGAGCGAGTGCTGCCCGAATACGATTTCATTTCTGCACGAGCACCGAACTGTGGTCGCACGAGCACGACATTCTTTTCGTACGGTCACGGCTTCATTTTCGCTCGAACACGAAATGATGCTCGCACGAACACGACACAAATCCGCAAGAACGCGAAATGGGGCACGCATTTCTGCACGAAGTCCAGCACGAAATGCGTCACGGAATGCCGCACGACATTGTCCGCGCGAAATTGCTGTACGAATGTGCCAGGCGGTGTCTGATTTTTGGGGGCGCTCGCAGGCGCGACCAGGCGCTCGCAAACGGGTCTGCGGAATAATTGTGGGGGTTTGTTCATGCGGCCAGTCTGGGCGGCAACTAACTCTGGGGCCATGACACATCTTCAATTGTTCCCACAATGCGATGCGCAAAGCAGCCCACCACTGATCAGCAAGAATCCTTGCACCCCCCGTTTGGCTGTTTCCCCTTCTTCATCCAGCCCGTCCACAAAGGACAGCGCTAGTTCACGCGCGGAGATGGGGGATGCCGCCAAGGCGGCACACTCTGGCATCGCAGCAAACTCGCGGGGCGCGGACATGCAGCAGCAGCGTGACAATAGCGACGCGAGCGTGCGCCCCCCGTCCCCGTCCCCTTCCTTCCCTTCTTCCTTCTACCGTCTCCCCCGTCCCGTCCAGTCCAGTCCATTCCCCTCTGCAAGGACTTCGCGCCCTTTTCGGGGCGCGTGCGAGGCTAACCTAGAAGTCTAGGGTTTTAGAAGTCCAGTCCCGCCGCCTCCCCTCCCCATCTCCCGTCATTTGGCCTCCGCGCCTGCATGTGATTTCGAATGCATTGGAGGACTTCCGCACGAAACTCCTCAACGCCACCATCGAGTGCCAGCAGCAGGCGACTCTCCGCCCTTGGCTCACCCCCGCTCGGGGCCAGACCATCTCGGATCGACGCGGGTCCGCCGTATGCCCGCCTTGGAGGCGTGTCGGGGGGGGGGGGTCCCGTCGTGGCGTCAGTCCTTGAGCAATTGAATCCCGAACATCAGTACAGGTTATCCGTCATTCAGCTGCTCTGCTGGGCACATCCGCCACCGCGCTGTGTGTGAGTGTGTGTTTGTGGTTGGCACGGTTCCCGCTACTGTGCACTATGTGTGTCCATTTGGTCAGTGAACCGTAGCTGCGGGCCTGAAGCCATACATAGACGCGTGTCGGCGGGTGCCAACGAATGCGCAGACATGCTCGCGTCGTGAACAACAAAAAACACGACGGAAGGTTTTTGGCCGTCGTCGGCTTCCGGTGGCCCTCGCAGGGCCCCGGTCAGTCGAGTAACGGTTCGGGGTGAAAAGTTTACCTTGGGGAAAGGGTGCCGAACCCGCGGGTCGATCTGAGCTGGTTCTGGGGCCAGATAGGGCCCCCTTTCCACCGGAGGCATAATCTCGAAGTTCGCATTTCAGAACTTTGGAAACTACTTGTTCGGTGTTCATCGATTGTCAACTGGCGTTACGTCATTACGTCGGGTGTCTGGTCGGTGGCAGGGTTATCGGTGGTTCAAGATTTTCACATTGTGGTGGGTTCGGCCTTCCTGCGCCGTCTTGGGTCCGGAGCGATTCGAAATTCTCAACGCTTCGCGTATCGCAATTAGCCCATTCAGAAACGTCTGGAGGAGGAGCCATGGAAACCCATGGAAACCCAGGAGGAGGAGCCAGGGAAACCCATGGAAGCCCATGGAAACCGGCAAGACAATCTTCCCCGTTGCCACCATGGACACCTGGTCCAACGCACTCCCGGACGGACTGTCAGTCGTTCTGGCCGCAGGTTCCAACACGGCCGCTGACCAGCCGGCGCTCGGTCTAATCAGCGCACGCCAGGCCAACAAGTTGGGCCCCTTTCTCAGGGTTCTCGGCCAGGTGCGTGCGCCTGGCCAAAGACTTCAAGGTGGCCAAGGAGCTGGCAGTGCTCACCCCTGGACGACATCACCATAGGGCCAACGGCAGGTACCCATACGAAGGCGGACCCTCCAAAGACTTCCCCGCATTCAGGACCCAGCTGCTCAAGGACGCCAAGACAATCATCGCCATACATGAATCTGCGGAGGCACTACAGAAGGCCGCCCCAGTCGCCCTACTCATCATAGACGAGGCAGGGCAGGCGCACGAGCTAATGGCCGCCATGTCCCTGGACAGCGTCATCCGCTCCGGCGGACATCTAGTGTTGGTTGGAGACCCCAAGCATCTCCTCCCCACCGTCATTTCCAGGAAAGCAGCGGACCAAGGGCTATGCCTCTCCATCTTTGACCGCCTTCACCATGCCGTGGGGGACGACCAGTCGGCCGTGGTACAGCTCAGCCTCTGCTACCGTATGCACCCCCTGCTATTGGCCTGACCAAATTGTGTCTTTTTACAACAACACAATGCGCACCGGCCTAACCGACCCTTTGTCGCAGAGGCCCCTAATCGAGGTGCTCTTATGGCGGGACTTCCTCCCCTGGAACGACACCAGAGTCGTTGATCTAGCGAAGGCAGCGGGCACCACCAAGAACGACATGGAGCACATGTTGCGCGGCCTGGATCCAGGGAGTCAGCGCAAAGAGAAGCGGCACCGCTTCCTACTGGTGGACAACCCCTCTTTGGAAGTCACTTCGGGGCTCCACGCAGGATACGCCAACCTACCAGAGGCAGCGCAAACTGTAGACATAGTACGTGCCCTCCTGCCTGCCATACGGAACGGCACCACAGAGCGGGCGGTCGTCGGCTACCAGCTGCAGTGCGCCATCCTTGAAAACGGATGGCCACAAAGCGCACGCAGCATCAGTGGCAGCCTCAGGCAAACCAAGACCAGGGGCAAAGGGAAAGGGAAGGACGGGGCAGCCTCACGCAATGAACCCACAATCCCCCCCCAAGACCGTTCCACCAACGCCAGTGACCACGCCGGCGTCTTCGTGCAGCGCAGCTCAGAGCTCACCGGCATCTCCTTGAGCTTCCCTGGGCTGCGAAGCCTCGCTGAGGAGCACCTGGCAAGCGGCAAGCTCACCATTTCAACCATTGACTCCAGCAGAGGCGGCGAAGCCGACCTGGTCATCTTTCTGACAACCAGGTCTACCAGTTGGCACGACTGGGGCTTCATGGACAATTCCAACAGAGTGAATGTGGCAATCACCCGCGCCACCCGGAATGTGGTCATCATCGGTGACTGGAGGATGTTCGGCGCCGCTACAGGATCGCGCCTACGGGAGCTCTCTGAGTATGGAAGAGTCGCCAAACTCTGGGTTCGCTTATCGCACTCGGGGGACATGGGCAACAGGTGGACACTGGCGGTCGACAAGGGATTCGACCCCATCACAGATCTTACCACATGGATCCCGGCTTCGCCCTCGCACGCAGGAGACGAGGTCATCAAGGGACTCGACATTGCCATCGGGAAAGCCCGTGCCTTCATGGAAAAGAACTTTGCAGACCGGATAGCAGCACCGCTCGACCTGGAGCTCTCATGGGACAGCCTAGGTGACGCCATCAGAAGCTGTCTGCAGTGGCTCGTCGAGGACCCCGCCATGGGAGTTGCATTATACAGCGTCTCTGGGCTTCGCCCCCCACCAATATTGGCCCATGGCCGACGCGCCGAGGCAGCCCGGCCGGCTCGACCGCAAAGCATGGAGCCATCTAGGATTCTGCACCGACGTCGAGTTGGGCATTGACGGAAGCAACCTGGTTTACAATCTTACGTGGGCTGCCCTGGTCTGGTTCCTCGGTTTGGGCACCCCCTGGGCCACCTCGCGCCTGGCCGTCCCCGAGGCGTCGCCCCCCCCCCCCCCCCATCTACCCTTCGCGAAGGGCATCGGCCATCGCCCCAAGAGGACCAGCCGATGCACTCCCAAGGACGTGCTACAGCAACTCCCAGAGGCATGGAGCCAAGAAACAGGGAAATGCAAGCGGCGCCGTGCACGCCCAGGGACGCAGCACCTGAAGTCCCTGCCCCGCCCAGGTCAAGCCGATTCGGAGCTGCGGCGATCTCTCCTCAGCAGCGACGGGCCCCCCATGGGCGCCCCCGCGCTCAGGGTCCCCCTGGTGGTTATGATGCTCCAATTGCGCGAGCCCCGAGCGACGCTATCTTCGAAGCAGCCATGGGCCTCTGCTTCCCCTGGCAGAGTGCCCACAAAGAGTGCAGGGCCAAGCTTGCAGAAACTTGGGGCGTCGACTTGCGTGGCCTCGCATCCCTCCACGGGAAGATGGAGGGCGCCATCAAGCATATCAGCGCGCTCGCCACCTACGCCCACCACCACCAGATTGCGACCAACCACGGGTGCCCAACCACGTGGGCAGGGATGCTAAATTACAAGTTCACGCTGGAGGTCCCCATGAGGGCCCTGGAAGCGATCATCAAACCAGCTGAGATCAAGTCCCTGAGCGAGGGAAGTTGCTCCATCTGCACACGGCACAAGGAGCTCAGCGGGGCCGAGGACGGGCTCGGCTGCCCAGACTCAATGGCAGACCTGGGATACATCGGCGGGGGAATCGCCATGTCCAACAAGCGCCTCGACGAAGGCCCCCCTGCATCCCCGGCCCCCGGCGCGGCACTTAACCCACCCAGGGTAAGTGGCGACAGGTTCCTCACCAGGCAACGGGTCGGCAGCTTCGACTGCGACGGGCGCCCGAACACTGGGCCCCAAGGCGCGGCAGGCACCTGGGAGGGCGACGACGCAAGGGAGCTTCTGGCGCAGAACCGCGCCCAAGCGTACTTGCAAGGTCGAAGCTGTAGGTGGCTGCGCGAGCAGTGCTGGATCAAGTCGCTGGAAAAAATGGGCATCGAGGCCCCCCTGGCCGAAAAAAGACCTCGGCAACAATCAGTCGCTCCAGCAGCGCCTACTGACGTACAGGCGCACATTGGACGAGGCTCGCCGCCGAAAGAGAGCCCGTGCTCTCCCCCCCTTGGATCGGCCCCCAATCGGGCGCGGGCGGCCGGATACTGCGCAGTTCCCCCCCTGCCCGCGCGACCTTGCCATGAGCACCGCGCCCGCCCACAGGCCGCAGGCGGTCGGCACCGCCTTCCCAGCCCACAAGCTGTCCGACGGCAGATTAGGGCCCGACTCACACCGTGCGAACACCTACTCCGCCATGTGCGACGCCTGCCCTGCGGGGTCGCCACTGCTCGCGCGGTCGGCAAACAGTCCCGCACTCGGCTGCTTCGCGTGGAGCCCGGAGCCAGGTGCGCCGCGCGACGACGAGACAGGGCTACCGCTATGGGATGCCATGCCCACGCTCTGGACCCAACACCAGTGGAATGCAGGTTGGGCCTGCAGGCGGCGCCTCATCCACATCTGGAACGCGGCACCCGGCACGCTCGACCGCATCCTGGACCAGCACTCCTCTAGAGCATGCCCCATCGCCCCCACCAAGCGCGCAGCAGCAGCAGAAGTGCAGGAGGAAAGCTGCGACATCAGCGCCCACCTCTCCCCAGCGGGCGTCAACGCAGCGGCGAAGGGCACGTGCTCAAGGCAGTCGGCCCCGCGGGGCGAGCTCGCCCCCAACGACAGGGGGCGCAGGAGAAAGCAGCGAGCCGGCCAAGGCCGGACGCGACAGCAAATCCGTGTTCCCCGACGTGGACCCGCCAGAGTGCCCCGTCCTACCAAACCAATCCACCTTCAGGCTCTCTGGGGTGGGGTCCGACGGCCTCGTTCACACCTTGGTGAAGTACTTGCTGGAATGGAGCCATTCCGTCTACATATGTTGGGCTGGTTTCGCACAGCGGCACGGTGAAGGCATCCTAGGGGACAGAACCGACGAGGGGTCGTGGCCCACGGCGAGCCTGCTCCCTTTCCTGGGAATGATCTACGGGGAGTCGATCCCAAACGACTGCCACCCCCCCGACATCCCATGGGATGGGCAGCGGGCCGCAGTGGCCCGA